AAGCCACTTGGTATAGTTCCAGTGGGAGTTCTGAAGAACCACAGTCGACCCTCCCAACTGAAAAGATCTCCCACAAAGCATCTGCCCTTCAGCAGGCCCCAGGGCACCACAAACCTGAAATCCAGCCTGAAACCAGGTAGCACTGTGCCATGGCAAAGGCCCATGGCTAAAGGGGAGGCAGCTAGAAAGGATGTGAAGGTGGTGCCTCCCGGACGCACAGCAGCATCCCAGGTGACGGTCCCCCAAAACCAGCCTCGCAGCGTGCACAGCTCCAAAACTCAAGCCATTGAGCATGATTTTTGTAGTAGGACAGATAGGCTTAAACCAAAACTGCCAACAGCAAGTGGAGTACATGCTGGACGTGTTCCCAAGGCCCCATCGGCTGTGGACCGTAAGTAAGTAGCAGCTTTGGTCAACTCTGTCCTCGCCTCCAGGGGACAGCAGAGTTTAAAGTGTTTAACTGGGTGAACCAGCACGAACCTGCTGGAAACAGAGTCCAAAGTCTCCTTAGAGGAGGGTGGGGATGAGATTTGGTGGTACCCTGGGTTCCTCTCCCACCAATTTGGCAAGCAGGAGGAGAGCGTCTGGCTGCTCTCTTGTTTTATCTTCATGGCACAGTTAAATTTGCGAGGGTTTTCCTTTCCCGGCCTGGAGCTTGGATGACTTTTTAGGGTCGATATACTGGTTCTTCCTGAGCAGCTGAAGTTGGCTAGAGGGAGATTTCAACAGTAGCCTGGTGAGTGCTGGCGGTCTGCTGGGGTGGTAACAGTGATCCCTTGGTCCTTTAACAGGAAACAGCTGGAGGAGTGGTTGGCATCCAAAGGCAAGACATACAAGCGGCCACCTATGATGCTGCTTCAGAAAAAGGCAGTGAAGCTGTCCTGGAGAAATGTCAAGGAGAAAGAGAACCAAGAGAAACCAGAGCAGCTCTGCCTGGAGAAGATCAACAACATATTAACTGAGTGCCTGAAGCTCATTGAGGAGGTGGGAATGGGAAAGGAGCTGCTTGAATGGGCTTTTCTTCTCCTGAAGCATCCCAGGAGATGAGAGCCACGTCCCCCCAGCAGCACAGAGGGGTTTGGAGCAAGCATTCTTGCTTGCTTGGCTGCAGTTGCCAGAGGGGTAACATCATGTGTAGGAAAAGTAAAAGTCCTTGTGGAGTTACGGATAGGCCAAAGGCATGCAGTGAGATGGGCTAACAGGGAAAACAGAGCGACACCTGGTCACGGGGCTTGCGTGTGTCATTGCTGGTGTCCTTGTCCCTGCTGGTGCAGTCTGCAGCAGGGATTTCTGCAGCAGCAGCCCAGGATGATTGAGGCAGCTCAGAGTACATCCCTGGTGGACCTCACAGCTCCTGTGAAGTACCACCTCTGGGAATGCTGACCACTAGCCCTGCTCTGGGGTTTAGTGGTTCCATTAGTACCAGCACTGAAGACTCTATCCCTTGACATCCCTCTGAAATACTAGACGCATTTTACCAAGGGGAAAATAGAGGCAGGAAAGCTGTTATCTGTCCATGGTCCAATGTGACTTGCAAAAACAGACTCTTCAGATGCTGCTTTTCCTAGAGAGCACTGGGAGAGCGGTTATGCACCGACAGCTCCCCCAGTGCACACCTCTGGCCCTTGCAATTAATACCTTTCTCTGGGACCTTGCCATTCTTGTAGGGTGTCCAGGCAGAGGATGTCTCTGCAGTGCTGTCCCAGGTGCCCCAGGCAGAGAAATTTGCCAAGTTCTGGATCTGCAAAGCAAAACTCCTGGCCCGGAGTGGCCCTTTTGACGTGACGGGGTTGTACAAAGCAGCAGTCTGCGCTGGTGCTGTGGTGAGTGAGGCACGCTTCTCTTCAGTAGCTCTCTGTGTTCCCTGCCTCTGCACCGGCAGGTTTCCTCGAGATCCAGGGGTTGGATTTTGGGATGAGTTTAGCAACGCTAGTCACTGGTGAAAAAGCCCTTTAGAGCTGCTGGTCTCATTTTGTCCCATGGAATCACCTTTGGCTTTAATCAGCCAAACAGGCAGTGCCGTGTGGGTATGAGCGGTGCCAGGGGGAGGCCGGGGAGGATGTGCACCTGCACTGTGTCAGAGCTGTAGCTGGAAGCAACGTGACGACAGCTCTGTGCTGGTCTGGGCAGCATAACTGCAGCATATGGTGGGATTTACCCGGGTGGATGCCTGCCCAGCCATGCCCGTGTGCCGACAGGTCTCACTTGGAGAAGGGAAACTGCAGCCTTTTTGCTGCTGGCTCCAGCACAGGGTGTCGCGATGTAGCCAAAACCTTTTCTCTTATTCAGTTGTAACTCCAGTCTTTGTTCCCGAGTCAGGCCTGCCTTCACCCACCTTCTGCTTTTCCTGCAGCCGCTCCAGGAGCTCAGAGAAGTTGTCCTTGATATTTTGAAGGCTGCAGACCGAACATCAGAAGGTAAGATGTGCACGTGAGGGCAGGCTGGAGCCGGGGATGGGCTGGGGATTCCCTGCTGCTGCAGGCAGGGAAGCAGTGTGGTTTGCAGCTAAGGTGTTGGGTGCCCACCAAACGTCCCCATCAGCCCTGTACCCCCCTCCTCAGGCAGGGAGGGAAACTGAGGCACGACAGGTGAGCAGCACCCCATGTCGCTTTTGATTTTTGATGGAGACAGAAAGTTGTGAAAGTTGAGAATCCTGGTCTCAAAAATGGGGCAAGATTCCTCTGCCAGGGCTGGGCGCTGCCCCAGCCCATCACACCCCAGTAGCAAGATGCCCTCGCCCGTGTCTGGAACACCGCCGTGTTGTAATCCCTCCCAAGCTGCCGCTCTCTGCAACCATGCTACCCTTTTCCTCTCCTGTCAGGGGAAAAGGCTGGGCAGCCCATTCCTTGGGAGCCTGCAACACCTTGCCTGAGCGAGAGGCAGCATGTGCTAGTGACTCCCTCCCTGACCGGGAGGTCCCTGACCAGCCTGCCTGTCTCAATCAAGTTACAAGTTACATCTGCATCCAGGTAAGGCTGAGCTGCCTGCTCCCAGCAGCAAGCACCCTCTGCGCCGGTGCTCCTCTGCGGGGTTCACCTGAAGACTCTTGTCCTTTCTGCAGAGGAAAGGAGTTCCTGGAAGGCCAGGAGCTGAAGTTCCTGACGCCGGTGCGGCGCTCGGTGCGGATTGAGCGGGCTGGGAGCCGCTACCCAGAGATGCTGAAGGACCATGACCCTCTGGTGTCATCCCTCAGTGAAATCCTGGATGCTGAGGAGGAGACCCAGTTCTTCTTCCGGAAAAACAAGGCTTTGCCAGAGGTGGCAGAGCTGGAGGGTTTGAGGTTGTATCCCCCGGAGTGCTGCTGAGGGATTCCTGGGGAGGGTGTGGGCTTCTTGCTCCCTGGTGCTGCCTTGCACGCACTCCACTGACTCTTCTTGTTGCCTCTCAGCTGTAAATATGTAGGGGTGGCACGTAATAAGCCTGTTTTAAATATATAAGCACTGTTTATAAATATATAAAAACTTGCAGTAGAGATGCAGTGTGGCCTAGTGAGTAGTGTACGAAGTCCCAGGTTGGCGACACAGGCTGCGTCCCCTGGGACTGCCCTTGGCTCCTCCATGTGATATGCATGCCCCGATTTTCCTGCTGTAGTATGATGTCAGTCAGGCTCTGCAGCGCTCCAGGCACCTCCCAGTGTTTTGGAAGTGATGTCCTGAGGGATTTGCTCCAGAGCTGCATTGTGCCCTACCTGGACAGCATCCAGACTGTCCCCACCAAGAGCCACACAAAGCCCTGCTGTCTCGAGTGGCGTGCAGCAGCACCGGCTGTGTCAGACTGGTGAGGGACTGGGGTACCTGCGGGACTGCAGCAGCTTCTGCAGTGGCCCCCAAGGAGATTGAAGGTGGCGCATGCAAGGGGTGCAGAGGTCCTTGGGGTGAAGCCATCCAGGCTCCCAGACCCCTGGGCATGGCTGGGGCTCCAGGATGGGACAGCAGGTACAGCTGAGCCCTCCGAGTGCACTCAGGGCCCTGACAGCAGCCGCCCCCCTCCCTCGAGGGCTGTTCTCACCCCCAGAGCGAGCAGCAGCATAAGGCTGCTGGGGGCTGGCATGGTTTCCTTGCTGTGAGAGGAGGATTAAAGCAGTGTCACTGCCACAAAGGGTGGAGGGGAGTCCCATTGTTACCCTCCTGCCCCCAGCAAGCAGCGGTCTTGTCCTCATCCTACCCTTTTGCCTCCTCCCAACACAGCCACCACCAGCATTGACTCAGCAGCTTTATTGAGAACCTCAGTGCTGGAAGAAGTCTTAGAGCAGTATGTGGAAGTCGGGGCAGGCCTGGCCCCTCTCTCCAGGGTGCAGGACAGTGCTGGCAGCAAGGGGGGGTGTCGGGGTGGCCACTCTCTGCCCAGGCGTGTGCTCTTGTCCCAGGTGCTGGCTGAGGAGTTGGGAATTGCCCTTTGCCCCCACCTCCCAGGCTTGTGGGCAAGGCAGTTTTCTTTTAAAATAGCCTCTACAGTGCCAGAAGTTTGAGTATCTTTTATGAATAGAAAAGGGTAGAAAGCAGAAGAGGGTGACAGCCGGTAAAAGGGATTCCCAGAGAGCAGCGATTGCCTCTAGAGCCCTCCTGTGCTTGAGCAACATCCACTGGAGCCAGGCTGCAGCAGCCCCCAGGGCCAGGCACTGGAGCTGGGGGGGCCGGAGCTGCTGGGACCACTGACTGGTGCAAAGTGGGCTTCCAGCGCTACCCGGAGCAGCGGTGCTGCTGGCTCTCCCCAGCGTTGGGCAGTCCCAGACTGGCACAGAGCTGGCTGGGAGAAGCAGCTGATGGCTGGGGGGGTGTGTGCATGAGTGAGAGTGGGGGGCACCGGGCAGCCTGTGGGCTTGGGGGGGACACTTCTCCTGCCACAGGGGAGAGGTGTGACATTGGGCATGGGCCAGGGCCACCAGCCATCCTGTGGCTGCTGGAGGCCGTGACTGAACATGGCAGTGGTCCAGGGACACCAAATGCCCCCCTGGGGGCTGGCAGGTGCCAGCCCAGCAGCCCGTCGGCGCTGGGGTGAGCTCAGGCTTCTCCATCATCCTCCTCCTCCCCGCTGGAGTCCTGGGCCACCCTGCTGACCTGAGCTGCAGGGGGGGGGGGGGG